AACCAACAGGCAATGTCGACATCTCCGTCGGAATAGAAAATTCAAATTTGAAAATATGGAAATGCCGGCAGCGACATTGGGCATGAACCGAGGCAGCTGGGGCAGCTCCCGGCCCTCTCCTCCGCCATCCGAGTGCATGCGCCATTGGGCTGCAGCTATGCAAGTCGAGCCCGAAGTTGAAGTCGCAGGCGATCCCGGGGTCGTAATTCGATTAACACCTTTCGGGCGGCGGGGAGACGGCAACTATTGGCCTTTAATTGGTGAGCGGCGTCAATGATGGTCCCGCCACCCCTCCGACCCTCGCCCTTCGATTCCCCCGCTTGTCTGCGGCTTATTAGGTGCGGAAATCTTTATTGATTGATGCATTGTTTGTTTTGGCTTGTGGATGACTCGGTGACTCCTGCCACGACCGCCCGCATTGTCTGCCACAAGGAGTTTGGAATGGAGTTTGGAGTGGGTCGGGGACTGGGGGAATCGGGGCAGCCAGTTGGGGCGGGGGAATCGGAGTGCCAAGTGCTAAAGTACTCCCCTCCCAGATCGTAACTCTTTCAATCAGACTGCGTTGTCCTAGGACGGGCGACACGTGTTTCCTCCGGGGAATTCGTTTGCCAAAGATCGCAGATGTGACCTAGGACAGCATTGTTCTGGAAATTACATTTCCAACTGGCAGATATGGAATGATAATAATTCCTAGTATTTTTACAAAGTAAATAGACACGCTACGGGCTTTAGAAGGCAAACGATTTGTAAGTTTTCAAATCGTTTGTGTTTGTTTCAAAAGTAAACGAAATCGAGTCCTTATAAAAATTTAAGAAAATAAATTGTTATTATTTTCTTCTATTATTTTAAATTTGGTTTTTGTATATTGAAAGCACAAAAATCATATTGAGCTAGTTGTCCTCAATCGGGCTTACATTTTGTTTTAGTTATAGATTATTCCTCAGTAATAATTTCCCTTATTGCCGATGCTTTAACCATCTTAAGATTTCGCCTTAAACATTCGTTACTGCCTTCTTTCCCCCATCTTTACTTACCAACTTTAATTTCAGACTGCAAATTGCATTGGAAATGCAAAAGAGAGATGAACAGACAGAAGGAAAAAGGAGACAGGGCGGAGAAAGGACGAAAAATCGTCTTTAATTAGTTCGCCTTTCGTTTAATGCAATCGCGAAAAAATATTTTTAATTTAAAACGCGTAATTCAATATCTCGAGTAATTTTATTTGCCGCCCACCCCCACCACTTACAGGCGGTGGCTGCGGGTGGGGGCGTGGCTGTTTGGTGGGCCAGGACACAAAGTGCTGCCAGTCATTGTCGCTGTCCGTTGTCCGTAGTCCGTTGTCCGCGTGTCCTGTTCGATTTTTATGCCAGCACAAAGTTAAGCTGAGCATTTTTGCGTGGACGTCGATCGATGCACCATGCATCCCATATACATATACGCTATATAAAAGTATATTTCTGCTATATGTGGGGCAGCATTCCGGTGAGGGGAGTGGGAATGGGGAGGTCATCCAACGCTGTGTAAATTGAGGCAGGAAATGCCGTTCGAGGGTTCGAAGTTGATGATTTTCAGGTCAAGAGCTGTGCAGCAGCAGCAACATCGAGGGCAGCTTGCCACTTGTTGTTGCTGCCACCGATGGTCAGTAATTTTACTGGCTTTTTTATTTGGTGCTGCTGCTTTTAAGTGGCGATCAAATTTCTTGATTGAAGCTCCAAGTGCAAGACAATGTGCAGCTGTTTGTCCTTAAACAGGATACTCCAAATGACCCGAGACTGGGAGCCAAAAGTAATTGCTAAAATTGAAGCTAAAATGCAACAAAACGGAGGAAGTTTTAGTGACCGGAATAGAAATGTGATACTTTATCCGGCCTGGGAAGTCCCTCAAAGCAGAATAAAACCTTATGTACTAACTTGCATCAAAAAATGTTAGTTTTGCGGATTATTTTATCTCGAAACATATTTTAGACTTTAGATAATGGTTAATTTTAATAAGCTATTTGTTTTGACTTATAAAAATAAATATTTTCTCCAATTAACAAAATATCTATTAAAAGTTGGCATTAAATAAATTCGAGATTTCTCGTTTCCGACCTAATTAAATTTAAAGAACGTTTGGTTCGAAATGTAGTGGAAGCGACTACCTCTTAACGTTAATAAGATAGATGACTGTGTCGAGTTTTATTTTGTAAAACCTTTCTTAAATAAAAGCACAACAAGTCAAGTATATTTATTCCTGAAGTGAGAAGAGAATCCAAAGCAGAACAGGCGGCAACTGGCCAAATCAGGACTCGCTCCTCCCGAGGTCCACAGACTCCAGATAGTATTAAATGTGTCAGATGCAGGCGGGAGATTCGTTCTCTCCTTTTCTCGAATGATGCTCAAGCATTTTTGCCTACAACAGGAAATTGATTTTTCATCGACAGCAGGGAATATCGGGAAGGCAGAACGCCATGTCCTATGCAAATACTTTCAGAGTACAAAAAATTTGCGTCACGCGGCGTTGCCACATTGCGAGACTTGTGAAAGAAATGACAATTTCTTCTGCTGCTTCTTGCCCTTCACATCCTTCACGTTCTGGGAAAGCTGTCAAAAAAGCTTCAGCAACAACTTCCGCTACATGGCAGAGAATTGGTGGAACGTGGGGCGACGAGAAGGGCAGGATGCGACCTGCGCTCAAAAGTTAAGCCATTAGCGAAATGTCCTTTACTTTGCTTATAACGCAATTTTCTGCTTCTTTTCTCGGCCATGTGCCCTCTGCCCCTCCCCCTTGCCCACCCATTGTTTGTTTCGGACACTTTTTGGCCAGGTCCGCTCGGTTTTGGCTTGGGTGCTGAATGACAACTTCACTTGTCAGCGTTTTGAAACTTTTGCGCCTCCCCTCGCCAGTACTCGGTAACTTTTTCCAGCGCTAATGAAGTCGAAGTATATTTTTTGGCTATGTGAAAATGTTCCCTTGAATCCGACAACATAATTAGTAAATGAAAAACTGTTTTGTGTAATTCGCTCTTCAGAGTAGCTTAGAAATTTTTCTGGGCTTATGAATTTGTGCGTTGGATTGATTCAATGCTTCTGTTTTTTTTTTAATTAATCTAAAGATAATCATATTATTTTGTTCTTTTAAATATTTCAGAATGTAAAATAATATAAGTTTATAATTTTTTAATTTATTAATTTTACAGTAGAAATGTTAAGTCAGCTAAGTATTTAAATTCGAGAAAGATAAAATTAAAGCCTATAGGCAAATACAAATACGTTGATAAGTGATGTAGTCATCACTTCCGCAAGCCGAAAAATCTAAGGCATAAACATTTTCAGGAAATATAGCTCTATCCTGTAGTACAAATACAAATTTATAAAATGTAATCTATTTTGTTGAAAATGTAAGTAATGATGAAAATTTTAAAATTTTGTATTTCTTTTGTTGGAAATAATCTGGAATGAACTTTTCTTAACGAGGTACAAAAGTTGTCATAATCCAAATTTTTGCTATACAATTACACTTTACGTTAAACCAGTACTATCTACAATATTCTGATTAGGCCCGAAGCGAGAAAATATTTTAGCTCATATTCCTTGTTACTTTCACTGCAATTACTCTGGAATTAGCCGAGAATGCAAATAATTAGTAAGAAAAGTTCAAGAGTATAGTTATTCCTTCGACCAATATATGTATGTATAATTAGTTAAAATCGGACAAGTTTAATTAAGTTGTTAAAATAATATTCATAAGACTAGGTACCCACCCCAGTCAAGTAGAAACACCTGCCGTGATCCTTTAACCGTTTTAGGCCGTCCAGGTTTTTAAATACATAATATAAAAAACACAAGTATGATAACTTGTTTTTAAGAACTTTAAACAACGGCGCCAAAACTGTATGACCACCTTGGAGAAAACGTAGAATGTCCCGTAACGCCTCGCGAAAGTGGCCAGAAAGCGCCTATATGTGCGTTAAACCCAAAGGTGGTTACACTGCCTGGACCTGGACAGTCTTAACAGATGTTAACGGTGTCGATGTTACTGTCAATACTGTTATTACAACGCTGTTAGGCACAGCCGCAGATAAATCTGAACGAAACTGGCGTGCAGCGCGTAGCACGGTGGCAGGCAATATTAGCAGCCGGAATCCGCTCCCCTGCATTTCCCCTTAGTTGTTGGCCAAAATTTAAACGCACTTTTTAACCTTCAAAACAGAGATTCGATGAGTTCTCTCTCGCAGTCCTATTCTCTTGCCTGCTCTCTCCTGCTCTCTGTGGCGATGCTGCAGCCGGCAGCGCTGCCGACGTATGACATGCGCAAAAGAAGAGCGTAGGCGCGAGCTCTCTCCTCCCACGACACTTGCGCTCTGGTCTCTCTCTGCTCAGCAGACTGAACGAAAGACGAAAGATTGAAAAGAGCAGCCAGAGCATCGACGACTGTTTTAATTTTAACATTGATGCATATTTTGCAGGAACGAAATGAGTATTTAACCCACGAGAAGTCACTTTTAAACTTAAAAGGACTTACAATATGTGCATACATAAGCAGGTAATATAAAAAAATATCAACTCAATATTGAGTCGGTTGATCGATCTACACGGGATTTTGTTTTATGAATTTTGTTTGCCAATCTGAAGGGCAGCAAACTTAAGATTCATTTCTGTTTTTAGACTCCATAAACAGATAAAATTTTGTGTTTTATTTTAAAATCATACAATTGCTTTCATATTTTTAAAGCCAATAATCAAATCATGTTCGATCATTTTCCATTTGCAAAGTCACTATGTAGTGAATTCGGTGAAAATGCTTACAGGGGATAACAGTATTCGTTAACATTTGTGCATGGATTTTGGGCTTCGGTTAACACCGCCGTCGTCGGCCTTCGTTGAGTTGGGAGAGCGAGAGAGCGAAGAGCGTTTCTAAGCTGCGCTCTCGCTCTCCCCGCCTTTCGGTGTGTTTCGCCAGTTCTCCCCACAGATTCGGTTTGTCGTTCCGTTTTCCTCTCATTCGTCTTTTGAAATTCGCCTCGAACGGTTCTCGTTTCAAACTCGACGTCGCCGCTCGAGAGTTCGCCTCCACCATCCGGAAAATGTGGATATACGAAAAGTAGCGAGGAACAGCGCGCTGCTGCTAGTTAAAAATACTGAAAATCGGGAATCCGGGAAAAACATCACGAGATGATAGTTGGACCAAACGAATTCTAACTTTACGCATTTCAAACGATCTCCTCGCCGCGCAAACAAAACAAACCATACCCCGTCACCCGTCATCTCCTCGTCGCGTCTCTGTACTCCCCATCGTGTGTGTCCCGTGTTTTCGAGTGAACGACTGCTGGCAGGGAAGGCCCCAAGAAATATTATTACGGCCTCGGCCGACTGTGATTGAGTCGAAGTTGTGCTTTTGTTGGGACCCGCAGATTAACCGCCTGGAAATGGAAATGGCCCAGTAGAAATGTTTTTGAGTGCAGTGCGCCAGTGTCGAGTGCATGAATAATCGCGAGTAGCCGAAAGCAATCTCTTCTCTTCCCACTCCCCCGCGGAGTCCTCCTCTCCTCTTCTTCTTCTGTCCGGCTGTCTGGCCAAAAGCCGCCAAAGCCGCCAAGATTAAGTTCTCAAAGCAGCACGCCCACCACGCGTACCGCCACACGGACAACATCTACGACGGCGGCACGGACACGGACGACGACGAATGTCCGCTGGAGGCGACCGCCATGAATCCCTACGAGTATGAGTCCACGCTCGACTGCCGCGACGCGGGCGGCGGTCCCGCCCCGCCCCACGCCCACCCGCACGCCCAAGGACGCACGCTGCCCATGAGCGGCCACGGGCGGCCGGCGACGGACCTCGGCGTCACCGCCCACGGCAGCCAGACGCTGCAGCACCAGAACCAACAGAACCTGCAGGCCGCCGCCGCCCAGTCGTCCCACTACGACTACGAGTACCAGCACCTGGCCCACCGTCCGCCGGACACGGCCAACAACACGGCGCAGAGGACGCACGGCAGACAAGGTGAGTTCCGACCTGCGGATTCGAGGGGCGGACTTTGCCAAGAAATCTAAACGGTTAACCTTTTGCAACGAGTTCCAATCCTCAGCAATTTCCATAGTTTCCACAATTTAAAGTCCAGATAGAAAGAGGTACCTTTAATTCGGAAAAGTTGTAATGATAGAAATGTGTTTAAAACTAGGCTGTTTAAACCTTTTTGTTGTTTCATGCACAAAGAAATCCAATTAAAAACTCTTAGAAAGTTTAAAGAGTTTTAGTGCACAAGGAGTCCCCTAATTCGAAGTGTTTCATGTGAACAATAAGTTTAAGCCTTTAACACATATGTTTCCTTTGCTTTTTTAGTGAAATAATTTATTAATGACATGGTCCAATCTCTGTTAACAAGTTTTGTAAACTTGAAATATTATTCTCGTTAAATGTGCCTTTTTAATACTACAATGCCAAACTTTATTGAGCTATAGTAATAGGAAATTAACTTTAATAGATGGTTCTTATTACCCAAGTTTAGGAAAATAAAAATAGTACATCTAAAGAGATGGCTCTGCGAATTACCATGTTATCTGCTAGTCCCGGTAATTATTCCTTCCCATTGCTGCGTAATATCGTTGGGAAAGGGGAAGGGCCAGCAAGTTGCGACAAGTTTGAACAAATTACTCCGCTTATCGCCGAATGCGGCCAAACATTTTGCATAAATTAAACAAATTAAGGCGGCATCCCAGCGCTGGGAGTGGGCTTCGCCTGACATTGAGCCCGCTCTTGTTTCATATTCCATAATTTCCCTTTTTCCGACTGAGCGCGTTTTTTCACGATTTGTCTGATTAATAAAGCGAGAGCAACAATAGCGAGCGCACAAAGCGCATTTGAAAAGGATACTCTCTGTCAGTCAGTCAGGAATTAGGGGAATCCCAGACGGTATCCCCATCCCCGAAGAATGCCTGCGGCTGGGAAATACTCGAGACCTCTGAGAGGAGTTCGGTTTCATTAGCCTGATTATACACTGATGAAAAACAAGGCCCTAAAACCATTAAAAATCCGTTTGATACATGTTTAAAAATATAATAATTTTTAAGCCCTAAAAGTGTCTCATATGTTATTATTTGTTTGAACATTACTTTTGTAAAAATTCATTTGATCAAAAAACCATTTGGATAGTAGTAGATTATGGTAGATTAATGGCACCAGAACGAAAAGGAAAGACAAAATAATTAATATTATTTTCTTGCAATTTTACGCACACTTATTAGCACCTGCATGGCTCTTCCAGACCTATCCAATATTTAACCCATTCCCATCCTCGACCACGAGCACACTAACCACAAATACATACATGCTTCGACATGCTTCAGTTTTATTATTTCCGACTTTGCTTCTTGGCATTTGAACTTACACATAAAACGGAATTTACATAACTTTATTTCTGGCATTTCCTCTTTGAGCTTTCCCTGCTCCGCTCCTCTTGTTCATCCTCATCGTAGTCATCCCACATTCCCCGCCCTCGCCTTGGTCTTCTTCTGCCTTTCAGCGTTTTTGTGGTGTTATAAAAACAATTGCCAAACAATTGAAGCTTTGAAACGAAATAAAAATCAAATGGAAATCGAACCAGGAGAAAAAGAACGTGTGGGTGTGCGCTACCTGGCAGCAAAGCGAAAAAATTGTAAATTTACAGCAACAAATAAATTTCGTAACTGGCAAACAATAAATTCCTGAGACCCGAAGACTTGAGAGAATTTCTTTTTCTGTTTTGGCGCAAGAAATGAAATTGAATAAAGTGGGCCAAGGGGGTGCGATTGGGGGGAGGCGAAGCTCGTAAATTTTCAACACTTCACCAGGCACCAGCTTTTCCTGCTCCCGCTACCCAGTGCCTGTCATAAAATTGCCAAAAAGCCAAAACAGGAAAGAGCGAAAAGTGAATGCCTGGAAAAGCAGCGAAAAATTCTTTCTCCCCCGCTTTGACGTTGTGTTGATGTGTGAAAATCTGCTCGAAGCGCGCAGACCGACATTTCAATGTCTCAATGCTTGATTTGTCAGCCGCCAATTAGCCAAATTAGGTCAAAAAAAACCTCCCCGCTCTTGGCCACTCTGCATTATTAAACGCAAACCACAGCCAAGTCCAAATCCAACTCCAGATGGCCTCCAAAGCCAATCACAATTCCATTCAACAATGCTAAAGCTGAAAGCGAAAAAAGGCGAGAAACACGCAACTAATTTCGAAAATGGAAGCTCAGCAAGGTCACCCTCTGAATCGGAATCGAAATCGGACTCAGATTGGGATTGGATCGGTGTCGGGAATCAGAGTGCAGAGCCATTTCGATTTTCTCACCCTGAGTTTTCCAGCAGCGCCAAATCGAACCGAACAGAACAGAACGGAATGGATTATTATTTGTTTATGCCGCGCCCGATTAGTTTATGGCCCGCCCTAATGAGGCCACTTTGTTTATTTTTGTCTTGGCTACAATTTTGCAAAATGAAAATCTCCTTTCGTACAATTGTTTCGAACAGCTTAACACTTGCTTCTGGCAGTGGAGTGCTGTGGCCCCTTAAACAAAACAATTTCAAATTGTTTGGTTGGCGTGGTGTAATTACACGGGTGCGGTCGTTTCCCCAAGTGGTTCCATCGGACTCGTCGGATCTTGGCATGGGCATGTTTCAATAATTTTGTGCTTGCGCCGAGCTCCCACTTGTTTTCTACGAAGATCGCGGCGCTGGCTATTTTCGGTTTTGGCAGGGGGCAATATTATAAACGGCCGGAGAGTAGTATTTTTGAGTGAGTGCCGGTGCCGGGGCTTCCTGTGCGTCACAGACAGTTGGGGGAGCTTCGGTGAGTCAGCAGGAACCTTGAACAGCATTTGAATGCGGCACTCGATTGGAAATTGATAGGGAGCATTCATTCTAATTCTAAAACGCCGTCGATCTCCCATAATTCGAACTTTCCAAAGGCAAAATTTAAATAACATTTTTGAAAATTAATTTAATTAATACTCTTTAAAAAATGCACCCCTAAGTTTACTATTTGCGTAGATCTCAACTGAAATTTCGCATGGCACTCCAGATCCCCTGTTGACATTACCCAACCTAAGCATCCCATCAGTATCTGCGATCCCATTTTTGGACTGAAAGCGGCTTCCGCTCACTAATCCTCGCTGGCAGCTAAGCCGCTTATCGGCTAATCCCCAAAATCAACCTGAGAAAGGACCTCGGCCGGCGTTAGGCCCTTAACGACACCACAAAGCCCAGCTGTCATATTTGGAGAACCTGTTTGGGGGCCAATCGAATACAAAAATGTACAATTTCAAATTTGATTTTGGTTCGTTGTGTTGGCTGTTTTTGTTGCTGTTGTTGGGGGACTTTTGGGTTCCCCGCCACATTTGTAAAGTGTCGGCCAGGATTTTTCTGCGCTCTCGTTCACAACTGTCAATGTCAGGAGATGCAGACTAGGCGCCGGCACCGAGCGAAATTCCAACTTATTACTTCCTGACAGCTGTCAAAAAATATGCAAACACCCAAACAGGGAGAACAGGGGTAACTATGCGTCGAAATGTGCGCAGAATTATGTAAATCAAAGCGATTTGTAGCAGGCAAAAAAGCAGAGCTGGAAAAAGAGTGAAAAAAGGTAGAATAGAAAAATTGACAGCGACGGGAAATTCAAAATGTCGAGGGCAGATAGAGCTGTGGGCAGGAAGGGAAGCATGGATATGGATGGCAGCGGAATGCTGGGAAAATTACACGTAAACAGCAGGAGGCCAACAACGCCTTCTCTGTTCGGTTGTTCTTTACTTTTTGCGAAAAAAGAAATACACAAAAGAAAGGACCCACAAAAGACCTTTAAGCCCACACACTTGAGAGGGAAAAGCAGCGAAGGGATATAGGCGATAATGATGCCGCAACGCGTAGACAACCGCAAATGAGCAAGCGAGAGGAAGGCAGATAAGGCTCGGAATTTGTAAGGTGTTCAGATGACCTGACCTGGCTAGAAGTCTCGCTGCCGAGTACCTGCTGCGAGCCAACTTCAACAGGCTGAATATCTTTATTTCCCTCCCTCTCTATCTGTGTGCCCCTCTCACTTGCACTACGTGCCCGTTTTCCATTTGAGCTGCATCAGCTGCTAGCGTTTTGTCATTTCGGGATTAGTCGGGAAAAACAGGGAACCAAGGCATTTTCCCCTTCTCTAGATCGACATGCCTCATTTGGCCTCGCACCGAAAGAAGCAAAATGAACTCAGTCGTTCATATTATAATTTGATTTTCCTCCCCTGCCAAAGCCGATTATGGAAGCCAGAAGAGTTCGATCCGAACCCCAAGAAATTAATGCTGAGTTAGTTTTTGGGGAACCTGCAAATGGAATCTGTTCAATATCCCGTTTTTTGTATTCGGTGCCAGAGTGTCAGTTTTGGTTAGGGTTGTTAGCACAAATTAAAAAAATTGTGTTAGGAACAGAAATTTAAAATCGTAGATCCAATTTCTTTTCTTAGCTTGGGTCTGATTCATATGCCTATATCTCCTATAACTGATATCAGAATGATTTTAAAAAATATCTTTTGTAATTGATTTATAATCATTTCAAAAGAATCTGTTTTTTTATGAAAGACTTTTAGAATATATATTTGTCGCAAAAAACGAATTGATATTGTGATATCTTAGTCACCACGGGATCTTTTTTTGCCATACATAGTAGGGAGCTGCAGTTTGGCTTTGTTTTATGACTGTTTCGTAGCATATAAATTTGTTGAAATCCCACATTGTCTCGGCACTCACTCTCGGGTGGCACGTCCTGCCCGACTTGATGATTGTTGTTTACTGTAATTGCTGCACGATTGCTGATGTAGGGAAAAAAGAGTCCTGTTCTGGCCCCTCCACCCACCAGCAGCAAAGAAATATTCACGCAAAAGTCATAAAAAATATGTGAATTCTGTTTGGGTTTTTGTACTTCTCGCTCGCTTTTATTGTCGAACGTTAAATTTATTATTTTTTATAGAATGTTTCACAACTGAATGCAAATTCAGCGTC